GAGATTTCGACCCTCTTCGGTTTGGACTTGGTTTTCAAACCTCCCTTTGACGGGATTTCACCCTGTTAACTGAGGGTGAATTCGCCGTAGGCGTGCGCTCGCCTCCCCTCTTCCTTTTTTCGTTACTAATCGATTCTTTGCTAGTCTTCTCACGCAGAGCCTTCTCTAGCCTCAATCGCTCCAACTCTTCTCTTACCTCCCATCCCAGTTTCGATTTCATATCCACAACTTCCAATTTCTTGTTGATCATCCTGAGCGAACTTCCCAGCGTAGAGGCTACCCAACCCTTCATCTCCTCGCTTTTATCAGAGGTTCTACTCTAAGCTCTACTACTTGCCTCAGGTAGTTCCACAATCCTTACTCCACTCCTTCTATTCGTAGTGATCATCTTCTTTGCTTCTTCTACTGCCTTGGTGGTCTTAATGCTTTCGAGAATCTCCATCTACAGTTGATGATGCAAGAGTCTGATATCCTGGGGTGATTCGATTGGCCTCCATCGGATCCGACTGCGAGAGAGTGTAAGACAAGGCGGCGAGGACAGATGAACAAGAACACATCAGCGAGTCACAGCGAGCGAAAACCTCCAGACAGCCTAAAGCACTCTTTTAGACATACCACAATGGCACACATTCAGTCTACCACCCACCAGGCTAACAACCTTCTCTTCTGTCACAATGTCATTGCATTAGATCGGGAAACAAAAGGCCTATGCCTGAGAGGTTGGAATCTTGAAGCACCAGTACATGGCCCCAGCCAAGTTGAGAGTCCGGTTGAGCCTCTCCTAAATTTTTGGAGGCTCAATGAAATAAATCGACCGCGGGCAGCCTACGAAAGGGGCCCATGGCCGATGGCTGGCATGTACTGGTGGTTTAACGGTCTGAGCAACATAGCAAAACAGGTCGACAACTTGAATGAACTGTCTAGAGGGCTGCTACCGTCTTCACCCGCATAGAACGCCCGGTAATTATCGCCGTATCTGGGCTGAAAGTTGTGCCAAATACAGCTATAATGACCGGGCATTCTATTTGGGTGAAGACGGTAGTGAAAGAAGAGAGCGAGTCCAGACATTATCCTGCTTCAAGAGACACATTTCACAGAGGGCAGGAATCACAATGAAGTTGAATAAACTGGAATCCACCCTACAAAACAACTTAGGAGGAATGTTATACAGCCTCTGCGCTGACGCAAGAAACGAAAACCGAATGCAAACAGCAATCCTCATTCCCAAGTCATCGAAGAATTAGGAAAATATTTTAACTGGACGCACCATCCTGACTCCGGGACAAGACCCGCTGAAGGGTAGATGGTGCTAGATAGACATAAGATGACAGCACGAGGAATTTGGAGTAATTAACGTGTATGCCCCCAATGCAGAAGCTGCAAGACTGATCTACTTCAGACTCGTCTCTACAGTAATAGCGGATTTCGGGGTGGTTATACTGGCAGGGGATTGGAATACCACCTTTAATCCAGGCCAGGACAGGATCTCACTACAGTTTCGAATGGGCCCGGCCAGAGCCACAACCAAGCTAGTGAACCTGATGACAGAGTTCAACCTCCTAGACCCTTTTAGAATGCTGTACCGAGACAGAAAAAAATTCTCCCTAATGAAGCGAAACCACCCAGAGCACATGTCCTTTTAGAGGATTGACTTTTTTCGGGCCATTTATACTGACAGGGGATTGGAATACCACCTTAAATCCAGGCCAGGACAGGATCTCACTATCAGTTCCGAATGGGACCTACCAGAGCCACAGCCAAGTTAATGAACCTGATGACAGAGTTCAACCTCCTAGACCCCTTTAGAATGCTGCACTGGGATAGAAAAGATTTGTCCCTAATGAAGAGAAACCACCCTGCAAGGGACAATTAAGGAAGCAAACATTCTCTCTCAAGCCTCTTACTACAGCCTTGATCATAAACCAATCACCCTCCTCAACTTCAGCAACTCAGTGGACAAGGGAAGGGGGTTCTATCGTTTCAACAAATCTCTTCTCCCACTCATCCAAGTAAATGAGAAGGTAGAGTGGACATGGTTCTTTCAGAAACAAAGCTCCTAGATACCAAGACAGGCGCCAATGGTCTCTCGACAGCCATTCAGAGCTCACTAGAGCAGTGGCAGAAGAATTGAAGGCCATAGCCAAAGCCAGGGCAAAGAGAAGGAAGGAGCTGGAGCTAACGCTACAAATAACTGAAGACGTCGAAAGTTCGCGTCTGCCACTTCGTGCTTGTCGTATTGCACCTTTAGGGTCTCGTATATGTATTTGTCCAATTGATGTAACGTAAGGTAAGGTAACGTAATATCAGACCCAACGAGCGATTTCTATAACAACCTCCTGTGCCATGCCAAAGAAGAACTAGTGAGTTGGGGAAGGTGGGAGTTGAGAGGGTTACACATTTGAGCTAGCCTCAGCTAGGTTCACAGACTTCGCCCTAAATGAGACAATGTCCAAATATTTCTTTTCCAAAATAAAGTCGAACGCGAGGAACAACAGGATGGAAGCCCTCGGGGACCCGCAAAACCGTGGAGTCGCAACGAAAAAATGAACGAGAGGTGGTGCACGTTGCCCACAATTTCTACTCCACTTTATACGGATCCGAACCCCCCAACCCTGTCCAACCAGTGATCAAGGCAGCCGGGAAAAACGTGCTGACCTATCTGAAAAGAACTAAAACACCCTCTCAGGCCATCGAGTTAGATAAACCCTTATCCCTCCATGAATTTCATCAAATAGTTGAGATGATGGGAAACGACAAAGCACCCAGGATCAATGACATGTCAAAGGATTTCTGGTCCCACTTCTGGCCTGTGCTAGGGCACAACCTCCTTCAGTTCTTCAACGATAGTTGGGGGAAAGTGGGTCTGAGATGTCTACTACGCACAAGCTTGGTCTCCTTGCTACACAAAAAAAAGGTGATCAATTACAGACCGATTTCACTCTTCACAGTCCCTTAGAAGATCCTGGCCAAAACCCTGGCCAACAGAATCCGTTTAAAAAAAAAAACAAAACCAAGTGTCTGACTCCTTGTCCATTATGGGGAGTGCCACTCCGGTTCCTTTTCCACCGTCAAGTCGTACATTGATTGGTTGATTGATTGACTAGGCTGTGTCAATTTGTAGGTGCTTTTTCCATCTTGCAGCAATGGCCTGCCTCGGATTTTCTGCTGTACATCTAGTCTTGTATCCGGACTTCACTGTGTATTCATTTAGAGCTATCCACTTTTTGGCCTGGCCTCTTCCCCGGTCTTGGTACCATCCCCATTCCCCTGGGTCTATCTCTAGTTCCGATATGTCTTTGTCTGGCTTAAGAGGCCGACAAAATTCTGAATTTGATAGGCAAATGATTCCATCTAGCATCCTAGGCTGCTATATCTTGGACAATGCAAAACAAACCTTTCAATCAATTCAATTCAATTCAATTCAATAATTGGAGAATTCAAGCGTATCGTATAGTATATATAAGCTTGAAGAAAGCATAGATAGACGACTGGCGGAAGAGGGATTCGAACCCCCGACATGCGAATTATGATTCCGCTGTTCTAACCTACTAAACTATTCTGCCTTGAACCACTTGACATTTCCCCTGGTGGGGTTTGTTTTTCAACGCTACCAATGTCCCTGGATGAGGCTGCTAAGAAAATCACCGAAAAGGGCTTGCAAGTGGCCATCCCATTCTTTGATTTCAAAAGGCTTATGATCAAGTGAACTGGGATTTTCTACACGACTCTATAAGGAGAAGATGGGAGCTGGGGGCAACTTTAGAAAATGGCCGAAAATCCTTTACAACAATGTGACCTACCTTGTGTAGGTGAATCTATCTGATCCACCCGATTTCTAGGTCAGTCCGCCAAGGTGATCCATTGCCCCCCCCTGTCTTTCTCTTTACCATGGAAGCAATAGCGTCTTTCCTGGAAAATGATCCTTCAATCGACAGACTGACAGTCTAGTGTTTTAACTCACCATACAGCTTAGGGAACTGTATGGTGACCCATAGGCAGAAAGGGAGAAAAGACAAGAAAAGGGGGACTGTCACATATTGTTTTGTCGGAGTTTCAGCGTTTCATCTGATGGAGCATCAATCACTGCCCCACAACTGATACCCTGAGGTGGGCACCAACCACTGCCCTCAAGGGTATCTTACAATCTGTGACGAAAATAAAATAAGACTTATCACTCACCTACACCAGACGGAAGAATCCAGGGGTTGGATTCGGGCACGGTAGATCAGCGCTCCAAGTAACGGTTCACTTGCCGGTCAAGTTTTTCGCAGCATGGACGGCGCATGTCTCATATGGCATACGCTACAGTGCAACCACTAACCAACAATGGCTGATTCCTGAAATCAAAAAGGGGGTTTGTAAGGATCACAACCCATCATTCATTCATTAGACAGGAAGCAACACATGAATCAAGGGAAGGTCTGTCACAGCCGGCAAATACACTGCACAGGAGCAGTCATCAAAAGGGTCTGTTCATGTTCTACAGAGTTCTATCAGACATTCAGAGTCAGGGCTGAAAAAAGGATTAGGACGAGTCTGTTTTTTGCCGTGTGTTTCGTTGAAGGGTAGATACTCAGAGGAGAAGGCGGTTTGATTCAAGTATGGTCTTTTCCAAGGGTCGAAAAGGGAGTAATCAATGCTGCTGGGGCCGCCGTCTGGCCGTGATGGGAGGGAGCGTTCAGTGGGTATTCATGTTCTCTCAAGTGTTTTTTACTGACTTGTCAGGGGAACCGGGCTGGTGCTTCCCGGAACAGAACGAAACCAGGACGATAATGCCGTTTTTATTTCATTGATTCATACTTTTCTTAAGAAAGGAGAAGCACTGAATCCATTGGGACTCTCTTGCTCCACACCAACTGCACGTTGTTGTTGTGCTTTTTTAACTTTTTTTTTTTTTTTTTTTTTTTTTTTCACGGATTCTGTTGAGCTGCTGCGAATTCCACCTCGTGGTTTGTAGTTGTTGATGCTTGATCTGATAATTTTCCGCGGATGCTGCGCAGGTGGAAATAATATTTTCGGATAAGACTGGAACCCTCACACAGAATGTCATGGCATTCATCCAATGTGACATTGGCGGGATAACTTATGGGAAGAGAGGCCACTCAAAAGCTGCACATAGCAAGGCCACAGTATCTTCGGCAAGGTACACTGCCCCGAAATCACTGAGCATGGTTCGCCCAGCTGCCAGACGTGCGCGGATGCGTGCCTCACAGTCAGTAAGTTCGAAGCACAGACCTGCAGAGAAATCCTCACAACCCTTGTTCGAGGCCAAGCGCAGTGTAAGAGTGCAGGATAACAAACCGAAGGGGGGTGTTTCGAAAAGTAAGATTGTCCCATCTCTTCCCAGTTTTGAAAGTATGGCGATGCTTGGGGGCCTTACTAAGAAAAAGCAGACTGCAGTTCAGAAAGGGTTCCTGTCTCGTTTCTCCTTGTACGGCCCACGCTCGGCTTACCATGCTGCTGGGAAATCGATAACGAGGGTGATAGGCCTCATTCGAAGGTCTATACACTCAACGTCGGCGACACCATTGCAGCCAAGACGCAAACCTGTGATTCATACCATTTCTTTGGACCCAGTGCTGCGCCGGATGCTCCGTGGATTGGCATTGGGCGATGAGATACAGGGTGAGCTGTGTAAGCGTTTCTTCATGCATTTGGCCACCTGTCACACTGTTATCCCCACATACCCTAACGGCAGTGACACTGCCACTGAACCGACGTACCAATCAGCATCGCCGGATGAAGAGGCTCTTGTGGCAGGGGCAGCAGGTTGTGGATACAAGTTAATTCAACGCCATCTTGATGAAATCGTAATTGATGTTCAAGTGAGTGATCTCTCTCTTAACTTCCTCTCCCTTCTTTGGCGCAAGAGCATAGTGTCAGCTGCGCTCACACACTCTGCTTGCTGTTTCTAGTAACTGTCTGATAGTTTGTGGCATGAAACTTTTTACACATACTGCTTGGTGGTTCTCTGTTTGCATTAATGGAATATCAACATGCAAAGAAATGTTATGATGGTGGCTGGCATGTAGCTCTCCTATACGCAGCAGCATCTTGGGTGCAAAACTGGATTGATGTCAGGTGCCATCTGAGGGCTGGACACCAATGCAGTGTGCTCAGGTTTCCTGAACAAATGAGTCGAGTGCCATGAGGTGTGCCCAATGCCCAAGGCTTGCAAGGAACTCACCCACTCTCATCTTTGACACTAAAAGAAGATGATGTTTTCTCAGTCCAGAGTGCAGCATTCAAAAAGGGGTGTATTCATGACCGGGCTGGCCAGCCAGTATATCAAAGGGCTTGAAACCCGAGTTTTGCTAAACCAGGGCAAGCCTTTGGCCTTAGAAAACACCTTTTTTTCTTCTTCTTTTTCTTTAGTGCCCGCCTTCTGCTCTACCCTGAAAATAAACCGATAACTTTATTTTCAGGGGAGAGCGAAAGTCGGGCATGGATGGCAAGAAGCGACTCTAGAAGGGGAAGGGGAAGATGGACGGGAGGAGCCAAAGGTGAGGTAAACGAGCATGCGGAGAGGAGGGGAGGACAGCTCCGCGATAGGAGGAGGGGTTTGTGGTACAGTGGTCTGTGATTGGTGCTTTAGGATTGGTGCATTGTGATTGCTTGGTGGTCCGTGCTTTGTGGTCGGCAGCAATCATCTCTGGGTGCAAAACGTGTGATGCCATCCTAAATTCCAGGCATCATATTCTCCAACAGAAAAAAACACACCTTACATACTGCCACATCACCCACGTTGATCATGACACATAATGGACACCCTTCTTTCTTCCGTAATAATCCTCCATGGTCCGAAATCATATAAGAAGTAAGAAGATAATAATGCAGAATGGAGGAGGCTGTTCTAGACCTTGGCCGTTAGTCTGGTATCAATGGACGGATGGTTCAGATGGACAGTACGTTCATGATCAATGCTGCAGAACTTGCAGTGCAGCATACTGTCAAACATCCACATGGCAGAAGTGGCAGTCGAACGCACTGTTTCACAGCCAATAAACCAACACAACGGTCACAACTGCACTCCAAGCGTCTATTAATTTTAAGTGAGCATTGTTTCTCTCTTCCTTCCTTCTCTCTCTCTCTCTCTCTCTCTCTCTCTCTCTCTCTCTCTCTCTCTCTCTCTCTCTCTCTCTCTCTCTCTCTCTCTCTCTCTCT